TGGCCGGTATCCTCCCCGTGCATGATCCTGCGCTCGAGCAATCGCCACATTGCCTTGAAGACACCTTGTCCTCCTGTGGGATGCACCCTGAGAGACCACAGGCCATAACCATGCCCCTTCCCCCTGCCGGTGCCCCGCCTCTTCCACTGGCGTCACCCCCCTACCCTCCGGCTGCCAGGGCTGCTGGCACGCCCTTTCCCGCCACCCTTCGCAGCCAGCGCGGATTATCTCGGGGCTTTGAGAAAGGGTGTTTCCCGGCATTCCTCGAGAAAGACCCTCCGCACGGGTTGGCCAGGGATTCGGCCGACAGACAGGCATGCCACGAGGGGGGCCGCCAGACAGACGACAGGCCTGCCGCTCGCCGCGCCGACATCGCGCGCTCCGCATGGAGGGGGGAGCGAGGGGACTTTAAGCCCCGCGCACTGACCGTCCCCTCGGCCAGAATAGTAGCACGTTCCGCCACGAGGCAGGGCGGCCATGCACAGAAGGCGACAGATCGAGTGACTGACGGAAGCCCTGGCGCAAGGGCGCGCCAGGAAGCGGTGCGCATGCGCGCCCGCACGGCACTGAGCAAGCTGCCAAGGGCCAGAAACGGTGGGTGGATGCAGGCGACACGAAAGAGGAGAGGGAGGAGAAAGGGGCTCGCGCTACACCCCCCCCCAGTGCTGGATGGATGCCACGTGGCTCGGTGGCGGCGGGCACACGGGCATGAAAGTCAGCCACCGGAGGGCGGCCCCAAAGAGGGGCGCAGCAGAGAAAAGGGCCCTGTGGGGGGCGGACACAACAGGGAGAGAGGGGCATGCGCGCGCCTAAGCGCATGTCCAGATGCGCCGGTTAAGGGCCAGAAGGAAAGGAGCCAGGCCTTGTGATGGCGTGCTTCGAGTTGCTCGGCGAGGGAGGGCGGCACCCTCCAAGAGCGCCATCGAGCCTCCCGCATCCGCCCCTCGCCGGGCCAGCAGCACCATGCGCACCTAGAGTGGAAGAGAGAGAGAGGCGTAGAAAGGGTATCGGAGGGCCTCCCCTACGCAGGGACCCTGTGCTCCTGCCGAGTCATAGGCAGCTCCCTGAGGCGCAAAGGCGCGCACCGAGGGAGCAGGCAAACAGAAGGGCTCGGACGAGGGGGGACCAGCGCCTAAAAGGAGCACCACACACATGCCGGGGTGCGAGTGCGAGAGGGGGGGGGGCAAGTCCAAAGTCCATGTCACACCCTCTTGCGAACAGGACAGAGGCTTGATAGGGGGGAGGGACGAGGAAAAGAAGGGAGAGGGAGGGGAGAGGGTAGGGGGAGGAGAGGGAGAAGGATCAAAAAGAGGGAGAGAGGGAGAGAGGGAGAGAGGGAGAGAGAGAGAGAGGGAGAAGGATAAAAAAGAGGGAGAGAGAGAGGGAGGGAGAAGGATCAAAAAGAGGAGAGGGGGAGAAAGAAGAGAAAAGAAGAAGAGAGGGGGAGAAAGAAGAGAAAAGAAGAAGAGAGGGGGAGAAAGAAGAAAAAAAAGAAGAGGACAGGCAGGGACCGCGTGGATCGGGAAAACATTCATGCGCCTCGGCCGGGGGGGGGGGGACAAACGGAGCGGGGTGGACCAAGTACACGCAGTTGCCGCGCACCAAACTCCCCGAAAAACAGAAAACATCCGTGTATGTTTATGAACATTTAAACACCCCCTTTCTCCCTTGCCCCCCACTCGCGAGGAAGTACATCGAAAATCGAGCAGCCAGGGCATCTACATTGGCATGTGCTTTTTGCCACCACACTCAATAAATGGTGGCCGTTCTTCCTTTGCGACAGTACCATCGACGTGGGCCCGCTTACTCCATGTCCCCCCTTCTCCTCCTTCCTGCCAGCCGCCCGGTCTCGCCTTGTGTGACCCTTGCTTGGAGAAACGATCGGCCGAAGATGCACCCCCCCCCGCCATGTGGAAACTTGTGCTCTCCCCTGGATTTAGCGGATTTTCGCCCATCCCCCGGAGCAGCCTCGCTCGACATCGTCCGGGGAGGGGGCCATTTTCACAGCCAAACAGCCTGCTGACTCCGCTTCCTGAGATGCCACACCTCGTGGCCGGGAGCTGCTCCTGTTCGAATCGCCAAAGCAGCGTGCAACGCCCGATACATTGGGCTGCGCCACTCGCACCAAGGCGCACATGCGCGTCGACACAACACAGCCTCGCCCGGCCATCCGCCGCCCTCGGCCGCGCACCCGGGCTGGTCCGCCGACACCTCCTTCCTCCTGTCGCCGAGCCCCGCCTCCAGGGTCCGAGGGAGGCACCCCAGGCAATGCCCCTGCAGCATGGCAGCGTGAACGCCCGGACGCCAGCCCACATCGCCAATTATCTCCCCCCGCCGTGGGCCGCACGCCCTCGACCGCTTAGGACCACCTGCCTGCCCCGGCACCGCCAGAGGAGAATCTCGCCATCGGGAGAGACAGCGGCCCGCCTCAGCGATCGCCGGTATCGGCCGGCCCGACGCTGTCACTGGCCCTCCGGACCCTGGCCAAAGGCCGGCCCCCAAAGCCACGGGCCGACCCCCGTCCCAGAGTCGTGTTGCGCCAGGTCAATCGGGCGCGCACCGGCGATCGCCAGGCGCTCCGGTGTTCGATCGCGCCCCCATCCCTCACCCTTGGGCTGCCCCTGTTCCAGCGACTCCGCCAACCAGAAGCGCCCGGTGCACTTGCCCAACGTCACTCGCCCGACACGCTTGGGCGGATCCAGCCGCCGCGCCGGTGCCGGCTTTCTCAAGAGCAGCAGCCATCCCGGCTCGTGGCACCCACATGGTGTGCCACCCGGGTCATGCTCTCCGCCATCCCGCACGCCGGGCCATGTTGCCCACGTCTAGGCAACGCCCTTGCCACCGAGTGCACAATCAGCCCACCTGTTCCCGCGGCAGCTCGCCCAACGGATTTGGGCGATGTCCTCCACATCGAGCTGTTGGCTTTGGGTGGATTGCCAGGCATGCCTCCGGCCCGGGCACACGCCTCCCCGGGCCGTGGTGTCACTACGCGTGTCCAGTCGGCCAACATGGCCCGTAGCCTCTTCTGCTTTGCGACTGGCATCCAGGACACCAAAGGACACACCCGTGGGCGGGCACATTTTTTGTCCCCCTCATCTGGCACCAAAGCCGCCGACAGTCGAATGGATGTCTCATCCCGCCCTCGGTAGGTGGACGCCCACGACACCGGCGTGTGTCGCCCCCGGCCGGGCCCATCTTGGACGCTGTCTGGCAATGGGCACCCCCGCCTCGAGGAGGTGCTCTTTCAATGGAAATGACACTTGCCCCGACGTGAGACGCGCCAGCCAGGGAAAGGCGCACCCTCGTGTGGGGGGATCTCGCCCGGGCTGTGTCACCGAGTCCTCGACCGCCGGATGCTCGGGGGAGCACCCTGGCGCAAGACATGCGGAGCTGCCCCATCGCCCGGGCACCGGCCATCTCCCCTGCCTCTCCCCGCGACAGCCCCTTCGCCGACGTCCTGGCCCATTTCCGGGCGCCGACCAATGGTGCCCGACTACCTGGGTGACCCTTCCCGCCCGCTCCTTCCTCCGCCCCCTCCCGGCTGGACACAGCATCATTCGCCGGTGGCCAGCACCAAGATGAATCTCCCCGGCTAGGGGCCGTCGTCGGCTGCCTCGTCCCGACCGAGGCCCTCTACAACCCACGCAGCCCCCCCCCCCCCCGTTCGCCCACTGTCGCACCAGAGCCTGCCTCTCCCCGGCCGCGGCTCAGCATCGTAGCGGGAGTGATGTCCCACCCGAAGCAATCAGCGGCAGGCACAGGGGAACCGCACTACCCCCCAGCGCCGCAGCAGGCCGCAGCCGCCTTCTCACAGTCAGCGGGCAATCTCGGCGCCTGTGTCCCGATCCGTGGCCACAATGGGGTCTCCTTTCCCGCGAGGGAGAGGCACAAATGACACGAAAAAAACCCCATGGGCGAGAGGTGCGAATCCGGGTCCTTCCGCAAATAGCCGGAGCCAGGGTGCCGGTGTCACGAAAGGAAGACGCATCCATGGCCAAGCACTGGGTCGATGTCGGACGGCACCGCGAGGGGCCGAGGGCTCAGCCATCCGAGGGAGCGGCGGTCCATTGCAAGGCAATCGACTTGCTGCTCGCCCCTCCCCCACCCCCGGGACCGGGGAGATGTACCCGGGAGGGGACCTTCCCCTGCCCTCGCCTTCAGTTCCCATGCTCGCGACGAAGCCACGCCTCAAGCCCCCCCCACCCCCCGCCGGGCGGCCATCTCCCCAGGAGCCACTCCCGCCCCCCGATTCGGCCGTGCCTCCCGCGTGCCGCGTTGCCCTGCCCCCTGGTTTGCGTGCTATGCCCTATCCGCCACGACGGCCATGACAACTCCCCGGACATGCCCTCGACCCTCGCCACCCCTGTCCGGTTCCCCCCCCCCCCCCCCCCCCCCCCCCCCCCCCCCCCCCCACCCCCCGCGCACCCCGCGCGGAGACACCCCACACTCATGCACCCACATGGATCCAAGACAAGGAGATACACGCCCGTTCCTCATGTGGAGGCACCACCGGGCGGCGAGTATTGTCTATTCTCCAGGAAAAAATCAAGTGCCTTGATCGTCGAAGTCGAAGACCCCAGCACCAGGCTGGCCGCATGCCTCAGCGGAGAGTGGCATGTGGCCGCGATGGTGGCCACCTCGAAATAGCGTCCAGCCGGATGCCGCGCATAAAGCGGCGCCTCCAGCCGAGCATCCGCATGGACATTCTGCCTCCGGATGGAATTTATCACCTGCGGCAGGGTGCAGCCCAAATCCACGGCCACCTGGTGCAGCAGCGGCGGGGGATACCGGTTTGACACCGCCACCAGCAGGGCATTAAGCTTGCCCTCCGGCACATACATCCCCCCCGGGCCAGAGCCCGACCCCGGTGGCAGGGCAAGGAAGAAGTACTCCGGGCAATACCGGTGAAGCATCGAGAACACCAAGTCCGGATGGCGACCCAGCCGCCGTGCAATCTCGCGCACCGTGAAGCGCATGCGCCCGCCGGCCGGGTGCACCTGCTCCCCGAGGCTCCGAAGGTGCAAAATGTCCTCCACCGGCAACTCCAGATCCAGGCGGCAGTTCTGCCACAGCCCCTTTGCCCGCATTGCCGGAAAGTCGGCTCGGAGCTCCCTCCGGGGTCGCCCCAGCTGCATGGCCATCTCCGGCTTCGACAGTGGCGGCCTCAGCGCAAGGACGCCCAGCAGCTCCTCGACAAGCAGCTGCTCCAGCGAATGACCCGCGGATGGTTGCTCCCCCAAATGCAGGGCCTGTTGCGTCTCCAGCCACACGCTCGGACCGGGCAGGGTTCTATCCAAATACTCCACCAGGGTGAGGCTGGGACTGGCCTGGCTCGGCGAGGCCGGCGTCATCGGCTGGCTCGCCGATCTCGGAATGTGGGCATTCCGGAAGTAGTACCTGATGTACCAGTGCGTCATCCAAATGGGCAGATTCAGCATCCCGGCCGCCTTGCTCAGGGTCAGCTCGCCCGAGGCCATTTCCGAGCGCAGCAGGGCCAAGTGCCCGGATGACAGGGGCCCATTCAGGGCGATGATATACTTCGGACACAGCCCCGGGCCATGTTGGTGGATTTTCCGCTGCGTCACGCCCGTCTTCTTGGCCATGTCTTCCACCAGCGGAGTGGTCGAGAATGGCGCGAGCATCGCGGTGTCGAGCGCATGGCGAATCAGGCAGATGCTTTTCAGGTTCATCCTTTCCCGATCGTCAAACTCGAACCATGGGAAGTGCTCCGCCAGGGCGGCTCGCACCTCCCCCGGGGTGCATGACAGCAGCTCGGCCATGATTGCCAGCGGCTGGGCAGGAACCACGGTCAGGAGTTTCCCCAAGCGCCCGAGGCACACCCTGTGCTGGTGGAACCTTGCCAGCTCCTCCCTCGACAAATGATGCTCCAGGACCCTCCTCGTCTGGGCAGTGGACATGCCTGTCAGTCGCGCGAGGAGCTGACGCGATATCGGCGGGTCCCGCCGAGCCAGGCACATGGCATCCTTAAAGGTCGCATGCTCCGGCATCACATCTCCCTCCCAGGCACAGGATCCCGGCATAATGCCATAGTCCTTGCCATACCGGTCCAACAGGTGTCGCGTGGTGGTGACATCCAGCCCGACCAGTCGGCCGATGGATGCCTCGCTGGTCGTCGACAGATAGACATTCCGGACCCCGGCAAGACGCAGGAAGAGGCGAAAGTCCTCAACATCCTGGAATGCCCGCGGCATGGTGGCCAGCCCGGCCTCGATGTCCCGGCACAGGCGCGTCCCCGCGCATCCAGCCGGCCGACGGTCGACCACCGGCGAAAGGGCCACATAGGTGTCCCCACCATGAACGCCGGCGGGACATGGGCGGTCATCTCCACCCGTGTCTCGGGCCCCGACCGCCGTGGAGGATGCCTCGCGCACAGGGCAACCGGCCCCGGCCGGCCGACTCCAGCCCGCAGGCGCCCATGGGGAGCCGGCCTTCCGCGGCACGAAACCCGGCAGCGACCGAGCAGCTGCTTGCCATCTGACCGAAAGCCCGATGGTGCGACAAAAGACAGCCCTGAAGCCGAAGAGCATCAGGAGCAGCTTCACCGAGGAGGTGGTCCCAGTGTCACACGAGGCTGCCTGTGTGACGCCGGCCAGGAGGGGGGGGGATGAGAGAGAAAAAAATCACAGAAGGGATATGATGTTGGAAGGGGGGGGGGGGGGGCGAGCGACGAAGAGCGAGGAGGGGAAGCGAGTAGTCGATCTAGCATGGCCAGCATGTCAGCTTCCATCCTGGAAGTGGGACGTGCCTTTCAACGCGTGGTCGGGCCCCATCCCCCGGCCGTTCCCCTTCCCCGGGCAAGGCGCGGCCCCCCCATGCCAGGAGGCCCCGGGCCGCGGAGAGCCGCCCCCAGCCCCGCCCTCCTGGCATGGCATGGGCCGGAAATCTCACCCCCATGCACAGGCGTGTGCCTCGAGATGCCAACGCACGTGCGAATCCAAACACACGGCACCGCCGCCCGAGCCCCCCCGGCGCTCGGGAGCCGGCTGCCTGCTCGATTGGCCCCGAAGGCCGTGCCGCCACGCGTCTAGACCCCTCCTCCCTCCCCGGGGACGAGGCACTTTCATGCACCCCCTCCCTCCATCCCCGGATGCCCGGAGGACCAGCCACTCTTGTGTGCACCTCACCGCCAGGTAGGCGCACTGCACGCTCGGCCCCCGTCGCCGGCACCCGCCTGTCAGCAACGGCTCCCGGACCGATGGCGTCCTGAAGGCACCATTGTGTCTGACGAACAGCCCCCCCCCCGCCCCCCCTCCCCACCCGGCATGCAAGCTCAGATCGCGCGCGCACACACACACACATACACAGGAAGACACACACAGCAGCGAGGAGCCTTTCTCAATTGTCGCGAAGTACAGGGCCCGGGTCTCCCTCTAGGCCAGCGCACCGCGCCGGCGGCGAAACACCAAACACCCGCGAGGCTCTCGCCCACTCGCTCTCTTTCCCCAGCAGACACATCTACACAGTCGACTTTTGAGCGGGCACATAGCCGATGGTCTGCAAGGCGTGCGAGAGTGTGTACAGGCTGATGCCAAAATGCGCCGCCATCTTTCTCCGTGATGGCCAGGTCCCCTGGCTGAGGAAGGCCTCCAGCTCCGACGTGTGCTCTTCCGATCTTCTACACAGTCGACTTTTGAGCGGGCACATAGCCGATGGTCTGCAAGGCGTGCGAGAGTGTGTACAGGCTGATGCCAAAATGCGCCGCCATCTTTCTCCGTGATGGCCAGGTCCCCTGGCTGAGGAAGGCCTCCAGCTCCGGGAGACGATACAAAAAGGTCCGAGAGTACTGCGGCAGCGGCATGTCCGGCAGATGGACCCGCAGCGAGTTGATCACCTGGGGCAGGGAGCAGGCCAGATCCACCGCCACCTGGTGCAACACCGGCACCGGGTACTGGTTCGCCACCGCCGCCAGCAGGGGCTGCAGTTTTTCCTCCGGGACATACATGCCCGCCGGGCCGGACGCGAGCTCCGGCGGAAGCCCCAGGAAAAAGTACTCCGGACAGTACCGGTGCAGCGCGGAGAACACCTCATCCGGCGAGCGGCCCAACTTCCGGGCAATGTCCCGCACCGAGCGTCGCGTATGCCCGGCCTTCGAGGGATCCGCCTCCAGGGCCAGCTGGCGGAAGTCGGCGATCCCCCTGGCGGTCAAGCGCATGTAGGGGGCATTCGACCGGAGGCCCTCGTCAATCTTCAACCGACGGATGCGCTCCTGCAGGGTGTGCTTCGGGACCGACATCTGCACCGATATCTCGAAGATCGACAAGGCCGGCCGCAGAGACAGGAGACACAGCAGCCGCTCGTCCTCCGACGACCAGTTGCCATGGTCGCTGGTGGCGGTGGTGGTGGTGGCGGCGGCGGCGGCGGCGGCGGCGGCCGTGGCGGGCCCGACGCCGGCGCCAGCAGCCCCCCCGCCGTCTTGGGCGTCGTCCCGGGCGAGGGATTCGGAGTGCACATCGTCGCCGGGGCCCAAGCGGGGCGCCGCGTCGGCCCCCTCATCGGCCGCCATGGACACCATGGCCTCCAGCGGCAGGGGACAACACCGGTCGAGATAGTCCCCCATGGTGATCGTCGCCAGCTGGCGTGGCCGATTGTGCGACTTCAAGCCGGCGTTCGATGCGCCCGGCGGCTTGGCAAACAGATAAAGCTGGCGATACCAGCGAATTTGAAAGGCCCTCAGGGTCTGGCCCGTGGTGCCCCTGTGAAGTGCCATGCCGGCCGGCGAGGAGCCCGATCGCAATGGATGCATCTGGTCCAGCTGCCCCCATGCCCGGGCCGCATAGGAGGGGTCAATGTATGGGCCCCAGCTCATCAGGGTCCGGATGTTGATGTTGGTTTGGTCGGCGATCTCCGCCAGGGAGAGCACCGGGTCCTCCTGGGCCAGGAGTTCCCGGAGCCGCCGCCACTGCGAGGCCGAGGGCTTGTCGATCTGCAAGGTCGGCATGAAGGCCGAAATGTCGACCGCACGGTGGATGGCCCTCTGCGAGACGGACAGCAGCGTCGCCATCTGCCGGAGGTGCATCGGCGGGCGCACGGAAGCCAGCATCAGCAGGCGCCACAGGCAGGGCCCCCGATCTTCCACCGGCGGCATCAAATCCGGCAGCATGGTCTCAATGCCGCGATACAAGATCGGGTGGGGTAACCCCAGCAGATACCCGATCACCTTCACCGGCACCGGCGGGTCGCGGGTCATCAGGTCTTCCACTTCGGCCAGGGCCTCCTCCGAGAATTGGACCGTGCGTACGGCGCGCGGGGCCGTCTTGCGCCCCGGCGGCGGGATCGCCAGCCCCTGCAGGATATATTCCCGGCTCAGCACCTGGATGGTGTTCTGGTCGAACCCCATCAGCCGGCCGAGCATCATCATGGTGCACGCCTGCATCTGCAAGCCCAACAGCCGCAGCAGCAGCCGCAGGCAATTGACCGAGTCAAAGCCCTTCGGAAGGGGCTTTCGCCCGGCCTCGATGTCCCGGCAGTAGAGCTCGCCCGGCGTCAGGGGGACTTCCGGGAGTTGGATAAGCCACACGGACGCCGGCAAGCGCTTGCCCCCCGGCAGGCATCCTGGCCGTGGCGCGGGGGACCGGCTGCTCGGACTCGGTGCCGGCTGCTGCGGGGCTGCCAAGGGGCCGGTGCTCGATGGGGGGCCCGTCGGTGACGGCGGCGCCGATCGCGACGCGGCCAGCATCGCCAGCGACCGAGATGCAGGCCGGCGCCGGAGGACCAGTGGCCCCAGGCGTGCGAACATCTCGGCGTATGGCTAAAAGCAGGCGATCAAGTTGGGCGAGTGGATGTGCGTGCGTGCGTGCGTGCGTGCGTGCGTGTCGATGCAACTTAGGCTCTTGGAGCTGGGCTGGCTCGTGAAAAAGGGAGGGCGGTCTGGGGGAGGGGGAGAAAGAGAGGGAGGGAGAAGGAGAGGGATACAACGTGCTCGGGATGCCGCCTCTGGCAATCTCGCACAAAAGGCTGGTGTGCTGCTTTCCACCCCTGGACGGGCATGCTCCCGGACGCGGCAGACGAGAGGGCCCCAGGGACATGGCCTCCCTCTTCTTGGCGCAGGGAAAGGCGGCCAATGCGGCTTCATGCCGATCAGTCCCAACGAATGACAAGCATCGTTGGCACCAGGAAGTCACGCCCTATTTGGCAATACCATTCCCACATCACACGCCACGACAGCAACCTCCTCCTCGCCCACAACCACACCGACCTCCCCCACATTATTCCCCGGGGCGAGCCGACAAAGTGCTGCCGGCAGATTTATTTATGGTTATGTGCGCGCGCGCGCGCGCGCGCGCGCGCGCGTGTGTGTGTGTGTGTGTGTGTGTGTGTGTGGGGGAGCGGCAGGGGGAGAAGGGGAGACACCTTGGCGGGCTGTGCCCGGTGGCGGTCGGCAACCACGGGTGTTCTGCTGTTGCCCAAATACGTCCGCTCGGTGGGATACACCTACGAAGTCCCCCTCCCCCCCGCCCCTGCGCCGGGCCGTTTGTTCCCCCCCTCCCGCCGCTCGGACTTTTTTCCTCCTCCAACATGACCAAGGCCGTCTGGGCCGAGCGAGACGATCGGAAGGGGGGGGGGTGACGCGCGACCCAAGGGCAAGACGATGCGCCGAGATCGCAATCCATGGGTGTCGAGGTTCTTGGCGCCGGGCAAGTTGCGCCGCATCGCGTCCCGCGTTCCTGATTTCGCCCCTCGGCCCGTCTTGACCCCCCCCCCCCCCCGGCGCCGGCCCCGGTCCCGAAAAGGGCCTGGCCCGAGTCTTGCCGGACACGCCCACGCCGGGCACCAGCCACCGGCATCTGTTAAGCGCCACATACACACATGCACATGCACCGAGCCCGACCCGGGCCACCATTGTAATTACCTCCCGCCACCCTGTCCACTCGGCCTGCCCCGGGGCGACCCATGCATCTGCCTCGCTGCCCGGCGCGCCTCTGGTCCGATACCCAATCCCCCCGGGAAGAGCACATCACGCTGCCGCGCGACATGGCCCCTCTCCCCCGGGCACCACGGACAAGATCGGCAATCCCCGCCAGTATACGTCACCCCCGGCCCCGAGGGGGGAGACACCCGGGCCGGGAAGGGGAGGGGGGGGGGGGAACATCCCCGATCGTGCCATGTCTCGGCGATCGAAGCACACGCGACCAGATGTGTTTTGACCACGGTGCCTCGCCCCGCCCTGCCTCCTGCCCCCCGCCCCCCTCGACAAATTATGTCGCTGGTGCTGCGGCGCTGGTATGCCGTCTCGGCCCGGGCCCCATCGGATGCCGGCGTCTCCCCCGCCTCCGATCCGGCAAGTCGACCCTGGGGGGATCCCGGCCAAGAGACACCCACCCGCCGGCAGGCCCGCTGCTGCTCGAGGCACCGCCCGCCTGCACTCGCCTCACCCCACCGCCCCGTCTCCTTCCCGCCCCCTTTTGCTGCCCTGGCACTCGAGCTATGCCCGGCCTCGGCCCCCGAATGGCCCGACGCCGGTTCCCCGGGCCACCGGCCCTCCTCCCCTGCCTGTCCCTGTTGGGGCTTGTTCTGTTGCTCACGACGCTGGCCTTCGCTCGGCCACCCCCCGGCGATGCCCCCGCGGCCCCGGCTCCGAAGCACGCCGGAGGGCCCCTTGCCCGGCCACACGCGGCACCGCGAGCCGCCTGCCCGGCCGAGTGCACCGCGTGCAACGAGTCCGGCTGCACCCGCTGCCGGCCCGGCCTATACCTGCACCTCGGCGATCCGGCCACCTGCACCGACACCTGCCCCTCGGAGCCCTACACCGTCGACGGGGTGGCCTATTGCCAGCCGAATCTCGTGGAAAATTGCCTCTACTACGCCTCCACCGGGGGCCGGTGCGCCGAATGCATGACCGGCTTCTTCCTGGAGGGCCCGTGGTCCTGTCGGCCCTGCTCCACGCTCAATTGCTACCACTGCGACCCGGGCGGCCGGTGCTTCGGCTGCCACCCCGGCTTCTACCTGGCCGGCTACGACTGCCTGCCCTGCTCCTCCGGCTGCACCCAGTGCTCCAGTGCCGGATACTGCACGGCCTGTGCCGCCGGACACTTCCTCCACGAGGATGCCTGCGTCAGCGCCTGCCCACCGGGCCACGCGCCCGGGCCCGATCGCCAGTGTGTCCCCTGCCCCAGCAGTTGCACCTCCTGCGCCGCCGGCGGCGTGTGTACCGCATGCGCCCCGGGCTATCACCTCACCGGGCAGGCATGTACCCCCTGTCCGGCGGGGTGCTCCACCTGCACCGGGCCGACCGCCTGCACGGCCTGCCACACCGGCCATGTCCTCCACCGGGGTACCTGTGGCACTTCCTGCCCGGGGGGCTTCTTCCCCGACGCCAAGCGGGGCATGTGCGCCGGCTGTCCTGCCGGCTGCGGCGCGTGTGCCGGCCCCACCGGCCCATGCAGCGCCTGCCAGCCCGGCTTCTTCCTCCACCAGCGCGCATGTGTCACCATATGCCCGGCCGGCTTTGTCGAGACAAACGCCCCGAGCGGGCCCCACTGCGCGCCATGCAGCGCCGGCTGCCTCGCCTGCGAGGCCGCCCTCCATGATGGCGCCCCCGGGCGCTGCTTCACCTGCCAAGAGGATCGCTACCTGCACGAGGGCCAATGTGTGGGCTCCTGCCCGGCCGGCACCTTCACCTCCGCCGAGGGCAACCGCTGTGACACCTGCCCGGCTGCCTGTGCCCGGTGCACCGCCCCGCCGGCCGCCCCGCCGACCGACGCCACGGCCCCCGCCCCGGGGACCGACATCCCCCGGTGCTCGGCCTGCCGACCGGGCTTCTTCCTGAACGACTGGCAATGTGTGCCCTCCTGCCCGACCGGGACCTTCCCCAGCGGCGAGCGGTGCCTCCCCTGCGGCCAGGGCTGCTCCCGGTGTCAGAGCGCCAAAATTTGCGAAATGTGCGAGCCCACCTTCCACCGCCACAATGACGTCTGCATGGAAGCCTGCCCGCCGGGCCACTACAACACCCACGACCTCTCCTCGGGCAATGTCTGCCAGCCCTGCTTCAACCTGTGTGCCGAGTGCAAAGGCCCCAATGTCAATGACTGCACCAAATGCCAGGCCCCCTTGACCATTCGCCAGCCCATCCCCCCGGTGTCCCCGCCCAAGGACCATGGCGATTGCGTTCCCGACTGCATGAACGACCCCTCCCAATGTGTCGAATGCGGGCGCGATTGCGAACTCTGCCGCCGGGCGCCCCACGACCCGGCCGTCATCGAGTGCCTCGTGTGCCGCTACGGCCTGGTCACCCTGGACGGCAATTGCGTCGAAGAGTGCCCCCGGCGGCATACCCTCCTCCTTGGCGGCCATTGCGCCCGGTGCTCGCCCACCTGCGGCGACACCTGCAGCGGCCCGGCCAGCACCCAGTGCATGTCCTGCCCCAAGAACAAGGTCCTCCAAGCCGGCGAATGTCGCGATGCCTGCTCCGCATTCGGCTGGTTCGCCGACTCGTCCATCTCCTGCGCCCGGTGCGACCCCTCCTGTGCCCAGTGCCAGGCCCCCGGGCCGAATGGCTGTTCGGCCTGCCCGCGCGGGTCCCTGCGTCTGGCCGCCGAGGTGCCCCCGGCCGGGGCCGCCGCCCGGCCGGCCGGGACCATGTGCGTGACCAGCTGCCCGCAGGGCATGTTTTCGGATCTCGCCCGCGGCGAGTGCCGCCCCTGCCATGGCTCCTGCCGCGAATGCATCGGCCCCGGCGCCGACAATTGCCTCTCCTGCACCAATGCCGAGGACCTCCTCTTCCGGGGGGCCTGCATGGCCGCCTGCCCGGCCGGGCACTTCGCTCCTGCCCGGGCCCGCGCGGCCGCGCCCAAGGATGCCGGTCCTCGCCAGTGCGAGCCCTGCCCGACCGGCTGCACCACCTGCGACCCGGCCCCCTCGGACGCCGGCACCAAGACGCGCTCGGATCTCTCCTGCACCAGCTGCTCCGAGGGCTTCCTCCTGCTGCCCGGCCCGCCCGGGGATTGTGTCTTTTCCTGTCCGACCGGCTTCTGGCCGAATGTCCCGGAGCGCCGGTGCATTCGCTGCAGCGCCGCATGCAGTCGCTGCATCGAGCCACACGGGGCATGCACCGTTTGCGCCGATCCCAACCACCGGCTGCGCCCGTCCACCGGCCGGTGCATTGACACATGCGACCCGGCCACCGAGGCCGAGGGCATCTCCCCCACCGGGCAGCTGTCATGCCAGCCCTGCCACCCCACCTGCCAGGGCTGCCTGCGCCCCGGCGACGAGGCTGCCTGTGTGGCATGCCCGGTCGGGCGTCACCTCCATGCCGGGGCCTGCCTGGAGGTCTGCCCTGCCGGGTACTTCACCGCCCCCGAGGCCGGGGGGGTCTGCCTGGCCTGTGTCCAGCCATGTGCCACGTGCGACGGCCCCACCCCGGCCCATTGCCTCTCCTGTCGCGGGGACCTCCTCCTGCGCCAGGGGTCCTGCCACACGGACTGCCCGGTGGAGGAGCATTGGCTCGACGCCGCGGCCCGGGTGTGTCACCCCTGCACCGCCGGCTGCGACCGGTGCGACCGAGCGGGCTGCACCGCCTGCAAGGCCGGCCTGCTGATGCTCCGCCTGGATCCCCACACGCGCCGCCTCAACACCAGCGCCACCGTGGCGTCGGCCGTCACCGAGCCCATGACCACCTGTGTCCAATCCTGCCCCGGGGGCTTCTACCCCGAGCACTTTGGCGGCCAGCGCATGGCCGAGTGCGTGCCCTGTGCCCCGGGCTGCCACACGTGCACCGGCCCCGACGAGCACCTCTGTGAGCTGACCTGGTGCCAGGCCGACATGTCTTGCATGTCCACCTGTACGTCGTCCTTCGCCTGACCCTGTGCCCATCTCCGCCGCCGCCCACGCCCGCCAGCCATGCCACCCCGCCCTTCTCCCCCCACGCACGGGCACCCTTGGCGGATCGGTGGTGTCCCTATTGACCTGAGCTGCCCTTGTCGAGGCCTGTCTCGCTCGCTCCCCCCCCCCCCCCCTCCTCTCCCCGCGCACGCCCATGGCACCCACCAGCCCGAACCACCATTCTCGGGGTTTCGGTGGGCCTGTGTCTGCTGATCCTCCTGCTCGTTGCCGGGACCCTTGTCTACTTTCTTGTGGTGAAACGGGCACGCCTGGCAAAGCCCCCCGTCCTGGCACCGGCTCCGGTGCGTTTGTCCACCCCTCTCCCGTGGACCCCCTCCGGGTCTCCCGGCAGCCCAACCACCCCACTGGCCTGACCTGCCGGGGCCTCCGCCCTCCGGCGCCACACCTTCTATCATCGACCTGCCCCGCCTTTCTTCGGCCGCGCATGCTCATATCCTGTCCCCCCCCCCCCCCCCACTCGGCTACACCCGTGCACACGTGCCAGCCCCCTGCCGCGGACGACGAGAATAGCACCATCATGAACACCGTCCTCGGTATGTGCCCCAAGTGCCGGCATCCCGCCCTTCCGGGGCCTACCCATGCGCGTACCCGCCAATCCGGCTCCACGCCGCGTCTGACCGCCCATCCCCATGTGCAGATCTTGCTCTCCCGGGATTCCTCCTCCTCTCGTACCACCGGGATCTGCGCATCGATCGCAAGGCCCCAAGCGGCTGCGGCTCGCAGGGCGGCGTCTTCCCGGTGGCCGCCCTCAGCAGTCGCCTCCTCGAGTCCGCCAATGACACCCCCCTGGTCATCAAGATGCCCAATGGTGCGTCGCCCTCCCCACGCCCCTCCCCCGACCCCGGGTATCGGCGCCCATCTTCGGCGATGCCGTTCAGCTCGCACTCCGAGCACCCGCCGCAGTAGGACGCCCACTGACCCCCCGACCCGTCCGACACTCTGGCATCGCGCCAAACATCAGATGCCCCCCAAATGAACATGTCCGTCACGCTGGTGCAGGTCCAGGCCATGTTCAAGAATGAGCTCTCCATTCTCTGGTTCGTATCTCCATGGGGTTTCGGGCCTCGCTTGCTTGCACGCGCTCACCCAATGCACATGTCTAACGCCCTGGTCACCCACCTCTCCCCTCCTGCCGGGAAAATGCTGCGCCCCGCCCGGGTACCCCCCCCCCCCCCCCTGCCCGCCGGCTTGATGGTCGCTCCTCCTCCGCGGCTTTCCCACCGGCAGGGCCCTGCAAAGTTCCCCGAATGTGGTCAAGCTGTTTGGCTACACCGAGGACCCCTCCACCCTGGTCCTCGAGCGGTACCAGGCCGACATGATGAACCTGCTCGACTCGACCCCCGGCCCTCTGGGTGGCGATGATCTGTCCTCCATTCTCCAAGGTCTCGGTATGTCACAGCCCGACCGGACGCCGGCTCATCGATTCATGTCCCCCCCCGCGCCCCCCCCGCCGGCTGGTCGTTCCTAGGTCCTCGGCGCCATGAGCGCACCGCAAACCCAAGTAGCCGCACTCAACCACATGGCTGCCGACATCTTCTCCCTCGGCGCCGTCATCTGGCATCTCCTGTCCCACGCGCGACCCTGGAACGGTACGCCCCCACTTTTATACCCTCCTATGCCTCGGGCCGGCCTCCCATCCTCACACACATGCCACCCTCTGCGTCCTCGTCCCCCCCCCCCTCCTCCCCCTGCCCCAGGTCTCCTCTCGTCGGACATTGCCACACGCGTTCAGTCCGGGGAGCTACCGGACTCCTATGGGCCCGGCCTGCGCCTCGACGCACCCGGCCGCCCGGCCCCCCCGCCCATCGCACTGAAGGCCCTGTCCTTGCTCCACTCCCTTTGGGCCTTCGATCCCGCCTCGCGGCCGCTGGCCTCCCACGTGTCTGCCCAGATCCTGGCACCGCCCGAGTAGATAGACCACTCCCCTCCCCGCCATACGCCCGAGGGGCCGACCCACGCGCACCTGTCCCCCGCTAATACACATTGCTACCGTCTTCCCAGGCTGCCCCGAGCGCGAAAGGACATCGTTCGTTTGGTGGCCGGTGCACCGCCCGCCCACCCCTCCCGACTGCCCGCCTCCCCCGGCCGATAAAATGACCGCAAAACAAAAAAAATAGCCCGTCATCGGTCGCGGATGAGACGAAAAAGAAATGGGGACTAGAGGGATCGAACCACTGACCGCTCGATCTGGAGTCGAGTGCTCTACCACTGAGCTAAGCCCCCCGAAGGGTGACCCTCGACCAGGGGGAGGGGCATATATCTCCAGCTATTTCCCACGTTCCTGGCTTGTCCGAGCGCCATCACCCCCCGTTGCCTGCGAGCCAGACAGGCCCCCCCTCCCACCGCACCTTTCCGGGCGTAGATCGCGCACCCCTTCTCCCCGCCACACCGGTCGACCTCGGGCGCGACACCCCAAAACACAGGTGCAGCGGTGCCCCTGCCCTAATGCCGGCACCGCCTCCCTCCCGCCTTTCCCTTCCCCATATCGCCTCCTCTCTCTCCCTCCCTCCCCCCCCTCTCTCTCTCTCTTGCCCCGCCGTGCTCCAGACACGATGCTGACTGCGCACCCCCCTCCGGGGGGCAGCCACCTGGCCGACCTGGCCGACATCCAAATTGACATCGGCAATGTCCCCGGTGCGTGGTTCCTCGCCGATTGCCCTCCCCGGTCGGGCTGCCCTCTGATGTTGTCCCTGCCCCCTCCTCTTTGCCCCAGGATGGCTATCCTCACGCGGCCATCTTAACGTCGACCCAGTTCTGGGGGACTTCCTCCGGCAGCTGTATGCCCAGAGCGCTGCCCACCGGACGACCCCCCTCCCAGACTGGGCCATCAACTGGACCTTCCTGAAGACCGCCCGTGCGGCCATCTTTCGCCAGGCAATGGTCTCCCTGGTGAGTGACCTGCTGGCGGCCGACCTCGCCGCCCTCCTGGCCAAACACCAGCTCCCGATGCCCGGCGTGCCGGCGGCCCGGGTTTCCCTCCTTGGTGACCTCCCCCCGCCGCCGCCGCCGCCAGCCGGCCATCCCCCCGATGCCATTCCCCTGCCTGCCTTCCTGCAAATGCTGCTTGCCGCGCCACCTGGTACCTGCTCATCTGGGGCCTGTCCCCTTCCCCTTCCAATGGCCTCTCTTCCTCCTCCTCTTCCTCCTCCTCTTCCTCCTCCTCTTCCTCCTCTTCCTCTTCCTCTTCCTCCTCCTCCTCTTCCTCTTCCTCCTCCTCCTCTTCCTCTTCCTCCTCCTCTTCCTCTTCCTCCTCCTCTTCCTCCTCTTCTGACCCTCAAAGCACAGAGCAGCGCCCCCTGCCGCAGGACATCCACCTGATTGCCGACGCGCTTGGCGGCCTGGCTGATGCCCTGGGCTCGACATCCTCGTCGGCACCCCTGCTGGCTCGTGTGCAGCTGGCCCTCCTGGCCGCCGGGCCTGGGCCGATCCTCCCCCCGGCCGCCCCGCCGGTCGACCTTCCCCTGACCCGGCCAGGGGAGCCGCTTCTCCTTCAGCCGGCATCCGGCGGTCTGTCCGCCCGGGCGGCCTTCCTCCTGCAGCGTGGCCTGCTACTTCTGGGCCGGCCGACTCCGGAGACCCTCCTCCCGGCGGTGGAGTGGTGGCATGCGGCCGCCCGGTCACTGGCCCTCGATCCGGCCCATGCGGCTGGCACCTCGGCCACCTTCCTCCGCGAGCACGGCCAGCGCGCCCTGTGCGTCCCCCCCCCCCCCCCCCCATCCGGCTTTGGTATCTGCGGTCACGGCCGAATGTCACACTCGCCCCTTGGCACTGACCTCCCTCCCAGGGCCCGGCTCAATGGCCAGCTAAAGACCACGGTCGGCAATCTCCGGCGCCAGGCGCGCCAAGTCCGAAGCATCCTCCCCGCTCGCTTGCAGACCCAGCTCCGGGTCTTGGATCGCTTGCTCGCCCGGGCCCAGGCCTCCGGCGGCGCCGCCGCACTCGCCCACCAGCTGGCCCTGCTGCTGACGGCGCTGGATCTCGCGCGGGCCGATGACGCCCTGTCGGCCTGTCACCAATGCGACCTGTGCCGGTGTGCCCCAGCCAACCTGGTCGCGAGAGACAATGCCGGGCCGCTCGCCCTGCTGCCGGCCCTGTGCCGACGCAACCACTCTTGGTGGCGGCGCTTTGCCCAAATCCCAGAGGAGGCCCTGGTTCCCCACTGCGACAGACTCTTCCACGGGCTGATCCAAGCCCAGGCCGCAGTGGCTCGGGGCCAGGCGGCCACTGCTCTGCAAGCCGGGGCCTCGGATCGCCCGGTCGCCGCCGACGCCCAGCGATGGGCGTGCGAAGCCCACGCGCAGTCTCTTTCGCAACAGGCCGGCCCCCCCACATTGGCATGGCTCCTTGGCGTGTATCTGCAATCCCATCGGACGCACTGTGCCGCCTGTGCCCAAGTCCTGGGCCCTGATGGCCAGCGGCAACCCTCCGGGACATGCGGCTGCCCTGCCACGACGGCCCTCATCCTGCCTCTGCACCAGCTGGAGCTCCAGTTCTCCCGGGCGGATTCCGGCTCCGCCGCCGAGGCTGACTGGATTGTCGCCGCGTCGGATGGCCCCTCCTCCGTCGGCGAGTCTCACGATACTGCCTCCTGGATTGTCGACGCCGCCGACAGCACCTACCCTCCTGCTGGCGATGCATCCGCCAGCGATGCGCCCACCGGCGATGCGCCCGCCTCCCATGGGGCTGCCATTTCCTGGCTCTCAGACAGTGACCCGGACGATGAGGAGCCCGTGTCCATGCTCGCCTCGGCGTCCGTCCCCGACTCGAACGACGGTCCTCTGATTGCGTCCCTGAAAATCGTGCGCCTTCGGCCCTTGCGCTTCGTGCCCCCTCGACCCGCCGGAATCCCACAGCTAATCCCCCCTCCCCCCCGTCCTGCACCAGCTCCGGGCCTTCTTCCAGCAGCTTCGCGATGAGCAGGCCCGATCTTCGGCCGATCTCTTTTCCTCCTCCACCAGCATGGCACTGTTCGCTTCGCAGATTGCACAGCACCTGCCCCGCCGGACGGCCTTCCCCCTTGCCAGCGGCCAGTTGGTCGATGCCCTTGCTCGCCGTACGTCGCGCGTCCTCCTGCTTGTCCTTTGCCCGCCCGCCCCCTGTGCCGGAGCTGACACCACGGCCCGCGATCCCAGTGGACGAGGCCATTCGCCACCTGGACCTGTCACAGGTCCGCCTTTCTCGGCGCGCCAGCGCCGGGGCCCTCAGTCGCCAACTGTCCGCCCTATCCTGGCTGATCTTCGAGCTGGATGAATCCACCGAGCGCATGGCCCTTTTCCGAGCTTCCGCCGAAGATCTCCTCCGTCAGGCGCACGGCATCCATGATGAGCTGCTCCGAAGCTGTGCCCCGGTACGTGCCGTCTTCGATATGGGCACGCCGGCACCCACGCCGGCATCCACGCACATGCCTCTGCATGCACTCGCCCAGGCGAGCGGCTTCCACTGACGGTGTCTTGCCTCCTCGCTGTCTCTCTTCTGCCTCTCCCCCCCCCCCCCCCCCCCCCTCCCGCGGCCGGTTTGCCGCTTTATTCGCCGTTCGCCCCACCAATGGCTGGCATGGCGCCCAGCTCACGGCTGCCGTGACCTCCCTTTCCAAGTGCCCAATTGAAGTGGTGTACTCCAGTGGCCCGGTTCATGAGCACTTTTTTCAGACAGTTCGATCGGCACTGGATGCCCTGGACACCGGGGCCCATGCCCCGGGTCCCGGCCGGCCGACGGCCCCCCCGACCATCGAACCCGACCATGGCCTCACCTATGAGGAGTTGTATGGCGAGCCGTGATCTTCCAAAGTGGAAGTCCATCCCAATAGACCTCTCGACATGCGCCTGTCCTCCATGGTCCATGATAGCCCAATCCCCGCTCCCCCTGGCTTCGGGAGGGGATGGACAGGGTTTGCATCTATTTGTTAAAAAAAAGCACAGGCGACAAGAGGAGCCGGAGAAGGAGATGTGAAGGCGATCGGACGGCGGGGAGCCAGGGAGAAAGAGAGGAGGAGGGGGGGGGGGAGAGCGGGAAAGAATGCATGTGCACACCGGCGGGGCCTCATCGTGCGCTCTCATCCCCTCGCATGTTCGAGGAGCCGGCCAGAAGCCCAGAGACCGAGCGGGGACACCGGGCGCGAGGGCCACCCCCCGGCTGGCGACCGTCAGGCTCACAGGTCCACATCCTCCAAATCGGCGGGCTCGATGAGGATGCGCCCGGTGCCCGGCACCGGACCGATGCTCAGCATATCGGTAAGCTCGCGCGACAGCAGGGACTCGATGTTCTCGCCCGGGGGCACACCCTCGGCCGTGGTCGGACAGGGCACCCACTCACGACGGGTGGTGTCGAGGTTGTACCGGCGTGGCCCGCTGCACCGGACGACGGGGGAGCAGGAAAATGCCGGGGAGAGGGGGGGGGGGGACAAGGAGCACGGGCCCCGGTCAATAACACGGACAGGCGGGGCCTCCCCATCGCACGGCATGCTTCGCAGAGTGAGTCCAGGCCAGCGGGGCTGCGTACCTGAGCGGCGAAGACAGCCAGATCTGCTGGTTCGGCGGCTGCTTGTTGATGACAAAGGTGCCGCTCTTGCCACCGAACGGGGCGGCCTTGATGTCCAGCGTCAGCACCCCGGACGAGTAGTCGGCATCCAGCAGGGACTCCGCCCGGCGCGAGGCATCCAGCTGCTTCATGGTGGGCAGACGCTCGGCCAGGCCATCCAGCTGGTCGGCCAGGTTCTCCAGCGTGGTCTCCGAGGCGTTGTTGTACCCGAGGGTCGACAGGCCACGGCTGGCCATCATGGGAACAGCGCGACGCAGCAGAGGAGCAGCCGAGGCAAGGCGAAGCATGGCTGTATGGGTGGGCAAGGGCGGGGGGGGGAGGGGGGGGCACGGAAAAAAAGGGGGGGGCAAAGAAGGACGAGCCACAAAAGGGGCAGGGCAGGAAGTGAGGATCTGTCGGGAAATGCCCCCCGCCCCGTCCCGCCGACCGGGGTCGCTTTTCTGCGGCCCATCCTCCTCGGAAAGAGGCAGGGGGTGAAAAGGGGGGGGGGGGGGGGCACAGCGATCGCGCATCCGGCGCGCGTCGCATGCCCCCTTGACCCCGGAGCCCTGGTTAGTTGGACAGGGCGACTTCGACCCGGTCCATCGCCACCTAAACACATGCCCCCGCGCCCCCCTTGCCCCGTTCCCCGGGCTTCCCCGTCGCGCCCGAGACCCCTCTCTTGCCCCTGGAGGCCGGCAGCGGCCCGAGACAACAGGACAAGCACGGTGCGCGTGTGAGTCGAGATCCCCCAAGTGCCCACGCATCGCCCCCAATTCACTGGCCCTGCTCGCCCCAGGCGGGACGCGCCCCGACCGGGGAAAATGCCGGCCTCGCCCCAGAGCACCTCGCTGTCTCCTTCGCTCTTTCTCCTGCTCTCTCTCTCCCCCCCCCTTCCCCAAGAGGCACACACACAAAAGGGAATGCCCAACAGGGAACAAACAGTGCACATATATTGATGAAAAGGAGGGACCAAGCAGGAAGCGCGGACCGCCGGGGCGGAGGAGGGAGGGGCGCGCAAAAGCACCCGGGCGGCGGCATCGGGGAAAGGACTTTCCCACCACGGCCCGAGGCTGTGGCGCGCCACAGGAGGCGGCGACCCGACACTTAGAAGCCGCCCGACAGCGAGGCCACCGAGGCATGGCGAGCGCGCAGGCTCCCCAGGCCGACGGCGGCCGACTCATTCTCCTGGCGCAAGGCCACATTCCAGCCGGCCGCATAGTCCCGAATGAGCCCCGCGATGATGGCCCCATCCTCGGTGTTGAAGACGAACTTGCTCGACGCCGAGGAGGCGGCAGAGGGCGCAGCAGCAGCAGGAGCGGCCGCGCCACCGGCCATCGGCGGCGGCGGGGCGAACTTGTTGCCAAAGTCGCACTCCCCGGCGACCAGCAGGATGTGCTTGCTGGCCGGGGCGCACGCCTTGACCGCCGAGTAGCGAATGGTGACGAGGCTGGTCCGCGAGCGCCGGGCACCCAGGTAGATGCCGGAATGGTGCAGCGCAATCCACAAGTGCGTCGGCAGCGAGGTGGTGTACGACTGCAACACCGGGAAGACCGTGGCTCCGGCCAGCGACCAGCAATCCAGCGCATGGGACAGGTACCGGCTGACGGCCGCCTCGCGCGACACCCCGGCCAGGCCCTGGTGCAGGGCCGCAATGCGGCCCGGCTCCGCGCGCGACTGCAAATGCTTCGGCACATACCGCCGCAGGGCCGTCGCATAGAGCTGCCCATCGGCCGGATACTCGCCCGGCGTCCCGGCATCAATTTGCGACCGGATGGCCGCCGCCGTCAGGGCATCGGCCAGCTCATCCGACCCGCCGGTAATCGGGAACCGATCTTGGCGGATGTCCGCCGACAGCTGGTGCACCAGGATCTCCCGCTCCACGGCCGACACCGGGGTCGATGCCTCGCAGGCCGCCTGCAGCAGCCCGCGCGGGTACAGCCGCCGGCGAACCACAAAGCGCACGGCCTTCGGCGCGGCGGTCGCGCCGGCACCCTGTGCCACCTTGGCCACGGCCGACGTCAAGCGCCGCTGGCTGGCCGGCCCGCCGGCCGCCGGGCCACCGCCGGCCGCCCCACCGACAGCCCCCTCGGCAGCCGCCCGCCGCGAGGCCTTGGACCAGTGGTACACCACATCGGCGAAGACCACCGCCGGATCCACCGCCCGGTCGACCCCCTCACCGGGGAACACCTCGTACAGGGCGTATGCCGAATGCCGGAGCCCGGCAGCCCCGGCATCCGCCACGCTGTCCTCCCCCGGCGCGGCCGCCGGCACCAGCGACTCCTCGAAGGAGATGCCAATGCGCGACAGGGCCTGCTCCAGGACCTCCGACGCGGTGGCCGTCGGCTCGAACACCAACGCACGAGACTGGCCATCGGGGAATTCGATGCGCGCGAACATGCCCCGGCGACCGCCCGAGCAGGCGATCTCCGTGGCGCTGGGCGGATGGACGCGAGCCACCGGCGCCGGGGCCGGGGCCGACTTGCCGGCCAGCTGGTAGGCCGCGCTGCATGTCGGCAGCCCGGCGCCACCCGGCACCAGGGCCGCCACGCCGCGCTGGCAGAACCGCGCAAAGGCCGACACCTCCTCGCGATCCAGGCTCCGCAGGGCCGAGGTCAGGGCGCGCTTGCCGCCATGGCGCTTGCTGGAGGACGACTTGCGACCGTCGGCCACCACCGCCGACGAGCCCCCACCCCCGGAGGAGGCCGCCCCCGGGGAGAGGAGCGCCGCCGGCAGGCCCGAAGCACCGGACCCGGAGGACCCCGCATCGACCCCCTGCCCGGCCGTGGCCTCCTCCAGGGCCAGAAGCACATCAAAAGCGGCCGAGTGCGCGAAGAAGGCCAAGTGGGCCTTCACCAGCCCCAAGACCTCGGTCGTGTTCGGAGGGCACACCCAGGCCACCGTGGACAGCAGACGCCAGGCGGCCATCAGACGCCCGGCATCCGACTGGGCCTGGGCCTGTGTGGTGGCCGGCTCATGCACCGCCGGCGAGGTCAGCCGCACCAGCAGCAGGTACAGCTCATCCCGCACCGGCGGGCTGTCAATGGCCACGCGCAGGATGTCCTGCACCAGGAGCGAGTGGGCCACGCCATCCTCCTCCAGGGCGGCTGCCGTCAGTGCAGCCGCACCGCCCTTGCCGCCGGCACCGGCAGACGAGCCACCGGCACCGGACGAGTGGTTGCCCGAGCCGCCGGCACCGCTGCCCGAGCCGCCGGCACCGCCACCACCGCTCGAGCCATGGCTGCTGCTGGCGGCCACCACTCCCGACAGGAAGCCCAGCGCCGGGTCCGACACCGTCATCAGCCCGACATACAGCAGGACACCGGCCTGCACGCGCAGCGACAAGTCCGCCACCTCGGCCAGCCGGCCGAAGCCCGGCGGCAATGCCAGCAGCGGCGCATTCGTCCGGTACCGGCCAAAGCGCCAGTCCGCCACGGAGTACGCGCCGCCGACCGGCGTCGCCAGCCCCGGGAAGCCACTTCCCGAGGACCCGCCACCGACGCCGGTGTTGATGCTCAGCGCCGGCGGCGGGGCCGCCTTGCGCCGGCCCTTGAACCGCCCAAGCAGCGACGACCGACCGGAATCACCGTCAGCCCCATCCTGCGAGGACATGGAGGTGACGGCCGAGGCGGCCGCCTGGCGGGCTGCCAGCACCGCGCCGGACGCCTTCAAGCCCAGACCCTCCTCCAGGCTGATGTTCAGCCCGGCGCAAGTGGCCTTGAAGTCGGTGACGGCCTGCGTCGGGGCCAGGCCAGCCTGGTGCGCGGGCCCGGGGACTCGCAGCACCCCGGACGATTCCAGACGCCGGCGGGCCGACTGCAACTCCGCATGCAGAGACTCCGACAGGGAGGCGCCAGCGCCGGCCGGACCGCCAGTCGCACCGGCTGGGGTGGCACCTGTCCCAGACACCACGGCCTCGCCATCCTGCCGGGCCGAAGAGCGCCCACACGCGAGAGGCGGAAGAGGCGACAGAGGGCGGGGAGGGCGGAGGAGGAGGACGAAGAAAGAGAAGAGGACGAAGAAAGAGAAGAAAGAGAAGAGTAAGAAGAAGGAGAAGAGAGGGAAGAAAAAGAAAAAGAAAACAAAGACGCCGCCCCAGGGGCACACGCACAGCATCCAGATACTCCACTTCGATGAAGATGCCCTCCGGAGCCAGCTGCTTCAGCGAAGCCACCAGCTGCTCGTAGGCCGGGCACACGAAGTCCGCCTGCGACAGCTCGATGTTGGACGACGCGGCGCCAGCTCCGCCGGGGGTCGGCAGGCCCGGGGTGTCCGGCGTGGCCGGCACCCCACCGGCCTCGGACCCGGCCTCGGCCGGTCCGCGCAGGTGGAAGCTCACCACGCCCGCACTCGGGTCGACCACCACCTTGCGGATCCGGCCCCAGGCAATGGCCGACCGCACCGGCAGCCGAGTACGCCCATGCAGCCATGTCACGCCATCCAAGGCCCGGATGGCGATCCAGGTGTCCGGCGACGCGGCATACGGCCACGCGCCGCCGGTGAACTGCGCCCGGTACTGGTGCGCACCGTAGCCCGGCAACTCGCGACACGTCTCCACAAACAGCACCTTGGCCCGGATGGCCGAGGTCCCGGTCAAATGCGAGGCCGCCACCCGAACCGCGGCAAGCCACTGCTGCCGGGGAGACTGCTTGCTCGAGGAGGAGGAGGAGGAGGAGGAGGACGATCCGGAGGAGGCCCCCTTGCCGCCGCTCGACGTGGCTCCGGTCAAGCTCGGCGCCACATCCAGCAGATGCCCGGGGATCAGGGTCTCCAGACACTGGAGCTCCACCTTGTCATGCCACTCGGCACCGCCGACCAGCGACCCGCCAGCCGACGCGCCGTCGCCGGCCGAGCCAACGACACCGGAGCCACCGGTGCCCAGGACATCCGCCTGACGAGCGAAGGCCACCAGGCGCACCAAGGTCGAATGGTAGGGCACCGCCAGCTCCCCGGACACCAGGGCCCGCTGCAGGTGCGAGAAGAGCAGCTGCAACACCACCGGGTCCTCGGGAATGGCATACGGCGCGCGGAAGTGCCGCAGCCGAAGCTCCAGCCGACAGCCCCCCGGCAGGGCCATCCCCCCGGCCGCCATCATCGTCCCCTTGGAGGTGGCCTTCGGGTCGACCGGGCCGCGGGGCGCGATGAACGCCGATGGCGACATCCCGCCCGGCAGCATCTCCCGCACATCGGCCACATAGCCCAAGGTCGAGAGGAAGGCCTGCGGCTGGCTGGCCAGCAGGCGGTACGTCGTCGACCCGGTGTCCATGCCACCGGGCGACATCGGCGACATCGGCTGGCTGCTGTGATGGTGGCCGGAGGCCCCGGCATCGGCCGCCGCCGTCGCCGCCAACAGGGCCCCCGACGTCACGGCCGCCTCCAGGGCCAGGCGATCGGCCTCGGCCGGCTCCACATCCGCCACCAGGGCCAGGCTCCAGGCGCCCTCGGCCGCCGATTGCGTGGCCTCCAGCCCGGCACGCGTCAGCACCGCTCGCAGCGCATCACCCACCAGCGTCCACGGGTGATATGTGAAGGCCTTGACACCGGACCCATCCGGCATGTGCACACGGCCCATGGAGGGCTGCCCATGGAAGAGGGCCTTCAGCTCGGCGCTGGCCGGCGGAGCCGCACGGCCGCCCCGCAGCGAATGCGCCGTCAGCGCCACCAAGCAGCTGGAAGCCAACAGCGACAAGGCCCGATGCAGCGCACGCAGGGCCAACCCCCGAGGGGTCTTGGCATCCGGGTCCCCGGCCGAAGCCTCCAGCAGGGAGCCCCGCTTGGCGTGCTCGGCGAAGATGGCCCGGCAATGCGACGACACCACCCGCGAAAGGGACTTCCCCGGGGCAAAGCTCGCCAGCGCACCGAGCAGCAGACGCCACAGCTGCACCTGCCCGGCCAGCAGGAAGAGCCCGGCCAGGTCGGACGCCTGATCGGCCGACGCCGGGGCCTGGCCCGCGCGCGACAGCCCCTCCGCCAGCCAGGCGGCCGAAAGGGCCGCATTCTCCCCGCCAACATTGCCGGACACGCGCGTCAGCCGGACCAGCTGGGCCACCAGCTCGTCGCGCAGCTCCGGGAACCGGGCAACCCCGGTCCCGGACCCACACACCAGCCCCAGCAGCTGCGCGGTCTCCTCCATGTGCGTGGGCTTGTCGAGCACCGTGTCCACGCTGCGCGGGGGCGCCCCCGGCGGGGCGGACCGCACAAGGGCCACCACCCCCGCCGCCACGCCGGACGCCAGGTCCAACACCCGGCGGTACAGCCGCACCGCCATCAGACCGCACATCTGCTGGCGCTCGGTCAGCAGCTCCGACCCGATGGCATCACCGGCCGGCTGGTCCGCCAGCCCAACCGTCGACAGCAACAGCGGCTGGACCAATGGCTCCAGGCCGAAGACAAAGCCGGCGGCCCCGGCCCCGATGGCGGCCCGGCTGGCTGCCAAGTCCGCCTCGGTCACCTGGATGCCGGCCGCCGCCAGCGACCCCACGGACCCGGCATCCCCCGGGAAGAGGGCACCCGCCGGCAGCACGCCCGCCAGGGCCCGGCTCTTCAGGAAGGACTCCAACGCCGACCCATCGAAGGCATACGAGGAGTCGGTGCCGGCCGAGCTGAACAGCGCCTGCCGGCGCTTCTCATGCGCCGCCTGCAAATCCTCCAGCGGGGCAAACTTCGCGCGAGGAGGAGGAGCCGGGGCGGCCGGAGCAGCCGCCGGAGCAGCCGCCGGGGCCGGGGCCACCGGCGCCAGCGACGACACCGCCGCCTCCAACGGCGAGACAACCTTCGTGCCGGCCTCGGCCGTGGCAGTGGCGACGGCCGCAGGAGCCGCCGCCGCCGTCGCCGCCGGAGCGTCTTCGCCGGCAGCCGCCGCCGGCGTGGCACTCACACCGTCGATGGTGTTCATGAAGGAGAACAGCTCGTCGAAGGCACCCTGCAGATCGGACAGGATATCCTCGCCTGGGGCCTTCTCCTCCGCCGCCGGAGCCGGGGTGAACTGCCCCGGCTTCGGCAGCGTCCGCGACACATCATCCGATGAGGCATACTTCACCGACGTGACGTCCAGGTTGGCGAGGGCAATCAAGTCGCCCAGGTCGATGTCCGAGAAGGCGCCCGGCGTCACCGGCGCGGTGGTCGCCTCGGCCGCCGCCACCGCCGCCGGCAGGTCCGGCTGGCTGACGTTCACATTGAAGTCAATATCGAAGTCGATGTCGAAGTCGATGTCGCCCAGGTCCAGCAGGCTCTGCTGGCGCTCCAGGCGCGAGGAGGCCTGCTCCTTCTCCAGGCGCTCGGCGGCCTGCGCTTCGGCCTGAGTCTACGTGCGTGCGCGTGTGCATGTGTGTGTGTGTGAGAGAGAGAGAGAGGGGGCGAAGCACGAAAGATGACTGCGGGGATCGGATCTCCGAGGGGGCGGAACACCGGTCCCCGGCCCTCCGCCGGGCGCGAGCCCGGGCCATCGTGCCCGGCCACCACCCGAGGACCAAGCATCCGCGGCGCAAGGGGGCCCACATACGCACCTGGGTCGCCTGACGGGCCAGCTCAATCACACGCGCACTCTCGCGGATTTCGTCAATCTCAGCCTGGCGGCGGGCCTCGGCGGCCGCGGCCTCGGCGGCCTCCTGCGCCTCGCGCTCCTCGGCCAGACGAATGCGCTCGGCCTCGGCAGCAGCCTCGGCCAGGGCCTCCTCCTCCAGGCGGATGCGCTCGGCCTCGGCGGCCTCGGCCAGCGCACGAGCACGCTCCTCCTCCTGACGGCGAAGCTCCTCCTGACGGCGGCGCTCCTCCTCCTCCAGGCGCAGGCGCTCCGCCTCGGCCAGCGCCACGCGGATGGCCACCACGCGCCGGCGGCCGAGCAGCCCCCGGAAGTGGCTCTGAAGCACGATGGCAGCCGCACGCGCGCGCAGGAACCGAACCCGGGCCAGATGCACCCGCATGTTGCCCTTGATGACGCGCTCGGCCGCCACCACGCGGAGGTACCGCGTCCGGTGGTAGAACATGGCCACCGCGGCGGTGACCCGAGCAGCAGCCCGGCGCTCCGCACTCTCGGCCTGGCTGGCAAACGTGTCATACTGTGCGCGGCAGGGAATGCACATACACATCAGACCCGGTGATCCGGGGGGGAGGAGGGGGGAGAGACAGGGAGCAGGGAGAAAGAGACCGAGACACCCGAAAAAAAAAACACCGGAGAGACGGGAAGTCGGTCAGAGCATATCGCGGCGATGCACACAGGGACAAGCACAAAGGACAATCCCAACCCCGGGAGGGCCTCCCCCTTGGGGGGGGGGAAAAAACAGACGCGCGCGCCCGAGGAGGGGGAAGGGGGAAAAAAGCCACCCAAAACACACCGATGCATGGCGGAAGAAGACCTTCGTCAGGCCCAGCTGGATCTGATCCATGTCGGGCTGGCCATTCGCCAGTCGCGGCCCGAAGGACTCGATGATGGCCAGGGCCACATCCCGCGCGGCCTCCGGCGAGGCGGGCTTCGTCGGCATCAGAGCCCACATGCGCCGGCAGAAGGTCTCGAAGTCCAGCCGCAGCGGGAACCCGGCCTTACGGATGCGGATGGTCTCCAGCATGCCGGAGTACCGGAGCTGGGCCTCAACCAGCTCCGCATCGAAAAGCAGCGCCGACTTCTCGTGGTTCGGCTTCAGGCACCGGACATAGTGCGCGGAGGTGTTGGCCAGCGTGGCAACCAGCGAGCTGAGTTGCATCTGCGCCAGGAGCGCCGCCCCGCGCGCACGATGACCCCCACAGCCAGGAGGGGGGAGGAGCAAAGGAGGCAAAAAAGAAAAAAGGGCAAAGCCCCAGATCACCAACAAGGGCGGTCACGGTTAGAAGCTCACAGGGAGGCAGCACACACACGCCGGCCGGGGAAGGAACAGCACGAGCGAAAGGGAGCCCGGGAAATGGGGACAAAAGGAACAAGGGGCCCTCTCCCCTGCGCGCGCCCTCGCCCAAGGGCATCGGCCCATGCACACACACACACACACACACACACACACACACACACACACACACGCGCGCGCGCGCGCGTACCTTGAAGTGCGAGGCGATGGTATTGCGGCGACGGGCCGTGGGCGCCTGGCCGGCCATCGGCGTGCTCGGGGTCGGAGGAGCCTGGGCCGAGGACACCGGCTCGGCCGGGGTGCCGGCAGCCAAGTCCCGCACCAGGGGCACCCGGCTGGCAGCCAGCACGTCGAAAACCATCTCCGACACCTCGTCCTTGTTCTTGTCCAAGAACCCCTCGATGTCGTACGTCACCACGCCGGCATAATGGGCAATGCCGAACTCCGTGGCCGACAGCCGCGCCCGGACATAGTGCATGTGCCCGAGGTTCGGGCCGCCCGGGCCGCTGCCCACCATCATCGACGCCCGGGACAGGGTCCCGGTCGGGCCGCCATGGGCCGCATTCCACTTGTCCAGCAGCGTGGCATCCGTGGCCCGGGGGAAGCGCGACTCCTCATCCAGCAGGGCCAACAGGCCGGCCGGCCGGCTTTCAAACAGATCAATGCACTGGGCATTGTCCACGAAGTCGATCTGCGACCAGACCACACCCTCCTGCGAGTATTCCGCCTGCTCCAGACGGAAGATGTAATCCGTGAAGAACCCATGCAGCTTCTCATTGGCCAGGTTGATGCAAAATTGCTCGAAGGAATTCCGCGTGAAGTGCTCGAACCCGAAGATGTCCAACACACCGATGAAGTGCGTGTCGGCGGCCGGGGCCCCCGCCTCGCCGGGGCCCCCGGCGGCTTGGGTGTCCACCGACAGGCCGCGGCCGCCGACGGCGGTCGGCATCGAGCCGGCCGCCGACGCCGCCGCCGCCGCCGCCGCCTGCCGGGCCCCCGGCGAAATGGACCGGTTGATGTAGGCCGTCAGCCAGTCAAACAGCCGGCTGTACAGGGCCTTGGACACGGCATCGCGACTGACCTGCGGCTGGTCCCCGCGCAGGGGGATCTTGCTCTGCTCGCCGCGCACAATGATCGACCGGAAGAGCAGCGACTCCGCCAGCGACTCGGCCTCCACGCCCAGCAGCCCGGCCACCAGGGCCACCACCGGCATGTTGAGGATCACCGACCCCTCGGCACCGACGGCCGAGGTGCCGCCCTCCGGCTCGCCGAACTCCACATTGCCCAAGTGCAAGATGGCCGACAGCACCGCAAACACGGCCCGGATCGTGTCCGGCTCCATCCCCAAGACCATGAGGGCAATGCGCAGGGCCTCCAGCCCACGCGCATCGTCATGCCCCTCGATGGTGGTGCACCCGGACTGCGACAGGTAGCGATACTCCTCGGCCTGGCCGATGTGCAGCTCCGCGCGCTCCTCATCCGAGGCACCGGCGCACAGCTCGTAGAAGATGTGGTACGACCGCTCGTCCGCCGACTGCAGCACCACGCGCGACTTCTCCAGCAGATAATTGTCCACCGACGCGCCGACAATTCGCGCCGCCCGGTCGAAGTGCACCTGGATGAACTTGCCGAAGCGCGAGGAGTTGTTGTTGCGCACGGTCTTGGCATTGCCGAAGGACTCCAGCACGGTGTTGGCCTCCATGATTTGCTGCTCCACCCAGTCGTCATTGGACGTCACCGCCGTGAGATAGCTAGCCGAAAGCGCGGGAACCGGGGGGGCCGAGCGATTGGGAGGGCACACGACAGGAGAAGCCCGCATGTCAGTGGGGTCCGAGAAGGGGGGGGGGGGGGGAGAAGGAAAGAAGCAGAGAAAGCCCCACGGCCGTGGGAGCGCGTCGCACCGGAGGATGAGCTTGGTCGACTCGGTCTTGCCGGCGCCCGACTCGCCGGAGATGACCACCGCCTGGTTGGCATTGGCGCCGTCAAGCAGCCCCTGGCACAGACCGCGGTAGGTGGCCTGCGCGATGGCAAAGATGTGCGGCGGCAGCTTCGACTGCTCGCCGGCCTGGTACTCGCGGATGACCGGCTACACAGATGGCAGAGCAAGGGGTGTACACGCGTGCGCGTGGAGCGGAGACCGGGGGGGGGGGGGGGAGGAGGGGGGGGGATGCAAATGCACAGGGTCACGCGGAGGGTCAGACGTGCCCCACACCGACAGCAGGCCGCACCCATGCAAACACATACCTCCTCGTAGATGGGCAGCCACTTGTACGGGTTGGCGGCCACCAGGATGGACCCGGTGTAGGTCTGTCCGGACAAAAAATCCACGCCGCCAGGGGTGTCCCAAGGTCAGAGAGGCGACACGCTCCACAACGGCAGCCGGGGCTCGAAGGGCGTAGAGAGAGAGAGAGAGAAAGGCAGAAGGAAGCACGCACATAGATAAAGCCCCGGACGAAGCGCTCGCGCAGATTCTCCAAGATGGACGCCTCCGACAAGACAGGCAGGTGGATCATGTCCTCGACACCGACTGCGGCAAAGGGAGAGAGAGAACGGGCAGGGAGAGAACGGGCGGGGTCGGCGGTCAGTCGGTTGAGAGGGGACAAGGGGACCCGCCACCCGGGAGCCAGGACAAAGAGAAAGAGAGAGAGAGAGAGAGAGAGAGAGGGCCAGGAGCAGGGAGACGCGTACTGTCAGCCGAGGAGGCTGACACGGCCACCGGCGGGCCGGCAAAGCCCATCGACATGGCTGTGGCGATGGAAAGAGGGTGTGCCCCGGAGGAGAAAGGGAAAGGTGCCCCTGGCCAATATGCGGGAAAGGAGAATGGAAGGGGACAGGGAACAAAAGAGAAGGCACACAAGCTGGCGCCGGATCGAGTGGTAGGGGGAAGTGAGTGACTCGTCCGCGGAGCTGGCAACCCAGGGGCCCGGCTCGCCTAATATCCGGATCGCCGCTCGGGCACACCCAGGCGAGCCCCTGATCCTCCTCGCCCCCACCCGCCCCCCCCCCCCTCCCTGGGTGTCCGCCTGCTTGGGGCATTCGCCGGATGTCCTCCCGGCACGGGGGGGGGATCCATGACACACGGCCGAAGAGGCACGGCGCCCAAGACCGGGGCCCCTGCACCGGGGGCGGTTTCGCCCGCCTGGGGGGGAGGGGGCATCCTGTGCCACGTCGCCGGGCGGAGGCCGCGCCCAGGGGCACCCGGCAGAGCAAGAGAGAGGGGGGGGGGGAGGCGCAGGAGGGCTGCCCGGCTCCATCCCCCGCGCTGGCTGGCGGTGGGAAGCCCGGAGCTCCAAGCACGATCGGGTCCCTTGCAAAGGCCACACGACGCGCCCGGGCACCGGCGTCGCCACAGGTCGGGCCCCCCTCACGCTGGTGTCTCCCGGCCAGGTGGCCGCCAGGGGGGGAGCCCCGGCAGACCGATCGCCGCCGGGCCCGGGCGAGATCCGCCACACACGCCGCCGCCAGCCGGCAGGACGCCCCGGTGGGCGGTTCGCCAGGTTGGTCTTCTTTTCAAATGGGGGGAAAAAACCACACCCAGGCGCAGACACTGCCCCTCCGACCCCGCCGGGCATCGGGAGCTTGCTCGTTCACGAGCCCCGAACCACAGCGCCCGGCACATCTGCCATTCGGCGGGCCCGGGGAGGGGAGCCACCCTCTCGGGGGGGGGGGGAAGCCCATCGACCGGAAGACACCGCTCGGCCCGGGCGGACACCAGCGCCGCCGGCCCCTGCCCGGGCCAAGCACCTGGCCTACGACCATGGGGGCCAGGGGGGGGGGGGGGGGCCGGAAAGGGGGCTAGCCGGAGGGATGCCCCTGACCGCGTCGCACGGCCCCGGCGAACTGCCCGGGAGACCCCACCCGGCCGGGAGCCACGCCCACCCGGCCCCTGAAACCGCCCCGCCCTGTCCAGGGGACAAGCGGGGCCATCCGGACGGGGGGCTCACTGGCCGGGCTCCCCGGCCCCTCTTTCGCCCCACCTCCACGACACACCCACACGCGCACACCATTCACACGCGGTGCGGAGGTCTCCGCGGCCCCACAAATAAAAAAAGCCATACAGGACCGTGAGAGAGAAAGAGACGGCCCAGGGAGCGGATCACCCGCCGGCGGCCATCTGACGCTCGCCGGCCCCCTCATGCCCCGCCTGGCCGGGCGCCCGGGAGAGCGCGCGCGCCCGGCCCTCGCGGACGATCATCGGCCCAAACGCCGACCGCGCTGTTCAACGGTCGGTTTGCCCTTGTCCCCCTGCCCGTCCT